GATTCCAACGGTTGACTTTCCCACTCCAAACTGGTTTGCGACCGACTGGTAGCTGTCTGGAGTTGCCAGCTTCCAGATTGCAATAGCCACTCGCTTCTCCACTGGCAGGGCAAGTCTCAATCTCGTGTCCTTGCGCTGCAGGGTGGGGACGAGCTCCTCGCACAGTCCCATGAAAGTGGCTTTTCTCATCCGAAAGTTCTGCAGCCACTGCTAGTCATCCCAGACTTCCATGATGATGTGATCCCACCACTCAGTGCTTGTTTCCTGAGCCCAAAAGCGGCGTTCCACGGTGCTGAGCATGTCCATGAATGCCACAAGCAATTTCGTGTCGTACGCATTACGCGACTCGATAGCATCATCTGACTCCTCACCCTCACTCTCACTGTCACTTTGGATCTTAAGGAATAGTTCGACAGCCAAACATGACGTGCTGGCGAGACTCGTCAGCATACGCTTCAGCAGTTCGGACTCCATTTCCCGCAGACAGATCGCGCTGCACAGAAACCGTTGAAAGATGGCGCCAAAGGTGGATGGAAACAAAGGGATTTCTGGGATGCGAAGCGATGCATCACAGGGCATTGGGACAGGACCCAGAATCCCCCGCACCCACGCCCCCTTCCCACAACCCACGGCGCCAGAATGGGAAAAGGTGCTCTGTGGGATAGCTGCCCATAATGCACCACTCCCAATAGTGCTGCAATTGCCGCAAATGTGGCCACGACAGTGCGCTGGGCAGCTGTCAGTGTGGACAGATTGCAGCGCTTTCCCTACTCAGCTGCACGAAGTCAGGTTTAACTCACAGCGCTGTACGTCTGCAAGTGTAGCCAAGGCCTGAGATTAAACTGAATGACTTTTCACTCAATCAGTGAATCTGTGAGAGAGATTCAGATCTTAGCACTCTTATGGCCAGATGTAAATGCCATAGCAAGTTCTCCTGAGAGTTCACATTGAACCATTGGCACTGCAGCATTACCTTTCTCAAAAAAGTGCAAAAACAGTAAATACCGAGAAATGTTCAGGCAGCTATTTCTGGGTTCAAGTCCATATTAAAGAAAGAGCATTTCTCTTCCTCTCGATGAGAAGGCCACAAAGCACGATGCCAGGCTCTACCTCATAAAATTTACTGATAGATGTGGAGCACGCTCCCTTCTGCAGCCATTACTGACTTGTGTAAATTATTCCTAGCAAATAAACTGGGCCACCTCTGTTCTGAACTTTATCTCTTTGCATCATGACTGGAAGTGGCATTGGAATAAAATTATGCAGTTTATCACTGGTTCTGTGTGGGTGTCTAAAGCGTTTTCTGCTCCTCACTGTTCTGTGTTTGTCTCCTTTTCTTTTTTTCTGAAGGTTACTTGAGCATGCATTCTGCACTGAGCTCTCAGTCCTCTGTAGACAGCGAGCTGAGTACATCTGATGACTCCATCTCTATGGGATACAAGCTGCAGGACTTGACTGATGTCCAGGTTATGGCACGCCTACAGGAAGAAAGTATGTGACAGCAATTTCCTTTCTGTTAGTCTTGTAATTGAAATTGTAGGGAAATGCAGATTTCAACTGTCCAAACATACAAGATTTTAATAGCCCACTTTCAATTTACTACATTTTCTTTTATAAGTTAACTTTAAATTCTACAGCTCTAAGATGTCTACGTAAACCTGGTTGATAAGATAACATTTTCAATTCACGACACTTCATAAAAATGATTGTGGAGGAGATTTTGAAAGGTCCAAACTGGAGTTAGGTGTCTACCATTTGTATCTTTGAAAATCTTACTCTGTGCCTAAATGAAGTTCTCTCTGCATTGAGATTTAAAACCATGTTAGCATTTTTCTAGAGAACCATGTTTTAAAATCTGTTTGCATCTTCCATGCAACAACATTTAATGTGTAGCCCAGAGCCTGAGTCAAAAACAGAGAGCCAGAATTAAGAGGGCTGCAGTTAGAACTTGGATTTCTAGCTCTGGTCCTGTGCTCAATCCACTAGACATGCTGCAAAGGGCAAAATGTACTCATTGCCTCTTGTTTGGATTTTAGGGGCTTGATCCAACTCCCATTGAAGTCAATGGAAAGATTCCCTTTGGAATCAATAGCAATCTTTCCATTGACTTCATTGGGAGTTGGATTAGGTCCTAGCTGAGAATTCCAGTCACTCTCTTGCATAGAGTTGCAGAGGAGGAACAAAGAAATGTCGAGCAGTTGGGCTACATAATAATTCCATTCTCCACTTTCTGTAAATCAGATTACTGCAAGGTGATGTTTAGGTTCTTATGTAAACCTTCTAGAAAATATTTACTTCCTTTGTACCAAGGTTTTACAAAGTTAAAACCACTAATAACAAATAGTAATTAGAACAGGAGACCAAAAAGCACAAATCAAGGGATCCCTTTGCATTGATTCGCACTTTATTCCATCTATGCTTGTGAAGGAAGGTACTCTACAGTGTGAATAAAGGCATCAAAATCTGTGCCGCCCCTCCCCCTACTGTGGTATGGCAGGGAAATGGTCTAATAAATTATTGTGAATCTGACATATATTATACATTTCCAGGTCTCCGTCAGGACTGTGCTTCAAGTTCTGCTTCAGTATCCCGTCGCAGTTCCAGTGCTTCCCTTCACTCTCTGAGGAGAGGCACCTATAGTGACCAGGAGTTTGATACATATAGTCTGGAGGATGAGGATGATTATGATTGTTCGCTATCCTATCGTAGTGCTCACAGGTACTCGCCATCTCCTCTCAGCTCCCCCCGTTGCCAGTCCCCTTCTTCAGGTGCAGATTACAGCAGGACAACAACCTCTCGAATTCGACCCCCAAGGAGAGCTGTGCAAAGTCCAATGCAAGACCAGCTAAAATACACAAATAACGAAGGTAGGCTGGCTGTAAACTTTACGATACTATGTATTAAAAATAGCTTGGAAATGATTTAGGGAAAGAATAGCTGTTTCATGGAAACCACTCCTGCAATTGGTTATGTTTGCTCTGTTTATTATTTTGAATTAAAATGGTAGTGTGCAATTTCCTAGGAATAGACTAAACAATGAAGGCAATTTGATTACTGTATAGTATACATTCTATTGGAAATTCATATTTCAGAGGAAATGCGCCACAGTATGCCTAACCTGGCTAGGACAAGCCTTCGCTCACTGGAATCTGTAAGAAGCAGTCGGAGTCTGGAATCAGATTTGCAGGTGCCCAGCAGCCGACTTTCCAGAATTCAGCAACCATCAACAAGTCAGTTCACTTTATCATTTCACAAATGAAGTGGCAAAATGATTATTTTTGTTCTTAGTTAAACTTAATTTGCCTGACTGCAGCTTTGAGGCTCTTAAAAGGCCCAGCATCCTAAAATATTCTTGGGACAGACTTTGACTCCCTCAGGGAACTGATTGGCAGGATCCCCTGGAAGGCTAATATGAGGGGGAAAGGAATCCAGGAGAGCTGGCTGTATTTTAAAGAAGCCTTACTGATGATGCGGGAACAAACCATTCCAATGTGCAGAAAGAATAGCAAATATGGCAGGCGACTAGCTTGGCTTAACAGAGAAATCTTCGGTGAGCTTAAACACAAAAAGGAAGCTTAAAAGAAGTGGAAACTTGGACAGATGACTAGGGAGGAATATAAAAATATTGCTCGAGCATGCAGGGGTGTAATCAGGAAGGCCAAAGCACAACTGGAGTTGTAGCTAGCAAGGGATGTGAAGGATAACAAGAAGGGTTTCTACAGGTATGTTAGCAACAAGGTCAGGGAAAGTGTGGGATCCTTAGTGAATGAGGGAGGCAACCTAGTGACAGATGATGTGGAAAAAGCTGAAACTCAATGTTTTTTGCCTTGGTCGTCACAGACGAGATCAGCTCCCAGACTGCTGCCCAGTGCAGCAAGTATGGGGAGGAGGTGACCAGCCCTCGGTGGCAAAAGAACGGGTTAAGGATTATTTAGAAAAGCTGGACATGCACAAGTCAATGGGTCCGGAACTAATGAATCAGAGAGTGCTGAGGAAATTGGCTGATGTGATTGCAGAGTCATTGGCCATTATCTTTAAAAACTCATGGTGATTGGGGGAGGTCCCAGACAATTGGAAAAGGGCAAATATAGTGCCCATCTTTAAAAAAGGGAAGAAGGAGAACCCGGAGAACTACATACCAGTCAATCTAACCTCAGTCCCTGGAAAAATCATGGAGCAGGTCCTCAAGGAATCCATTTTGAAGCACTTGGAGGAGAGGAATGTGATCAGGAATAGTCAACATGGATTCACCCAGGGCAAGTCATGCCTGACCTGACTGCCTTCTATGATGAGATAACTGGCTCTGTGGATATGAGGAAAACGGTGGATGAGATATATTTTGACTTTAGCAAAGCTTTTGATACGGTCTCCCACAGTATTCTTGCCATCAAGTTAAAGAAGTATGGATTGGATGAATGGACTATAAGGTGGATAGAAAGCTGGCTAGATTGTCTGGCTCAACGGGTAGTGATCAATGGCGTGATGTCTAGTTGGCAGTTAGTATCAAGCGGAGTGCCCTAGGGGTTGGTCCTGGGGCTGCTTTTGTTCAACATCTTCATTAATGGGCTAAATGATGGGATGGATTGCACCCTCAGAAAGTTTGCGGATGAGTAGATACGCTAGAGGATAGGGACAGGGTCCATAGTGACCTAGACAGATTGGATGATTGGGGCCAAAAGTAGTCTGATGAGGTTCAACAAGGACAAGTGCAGAGACCTGCACTTAGGACGGAAGAATCCTATGCCTGGCTACAGGCTGGGGACTGACTGGCTAGGCAGAAGTTCTGTAGAATAGGACCTGGGGATTACAGTGGACGAGAAGCTGGATATGAGTCAACAATGTGCCCTTGTTGCCAAGAAGGCTAACGGCTTCTTGGGCTGCATTAGTAGGAGCATTGCCAGCAGATCGAGGGAAGTGATTATTTCCCTCTATTTGGCACTGGTGAGGCCACATCTGGAGTATTGCATCTAGTTTTGGGCCACCAACTTCAAGAAGGATGTGGACAAATTGAAATGAGTCCAGCGGAGGGCAACGAAAATCATTAGGGCCTGGGGCACATGATTTTATGAGGAGAGGCTGAGGGAACTGGGCTTATTTAGTCTGAAGAAGAGAAGAATGAGGGGGGATTTGATAGCAGCCTTCAACTACCTGAAAGGGGGGTTCCAAAGAGGATGGAGCTAGGCTGTTCTCAGTGGTGGCAGATGACAGAACAAGGAGCAATGACCTTAAGTTGCAGTGGGGAAGGTCTAGGTTGCATATTAGGGAAAACTATTTCACTAGAAGGGTGGTGAAGCATTGGAATGGGTTACCTAGGGAGGTGGTGGAATCTCCTTCCTTAAAAACGTCTAAGGTCAGCCTTGACAAAGCCCTGGCTGGGCTGATTTAGTTGGGGTTGGTCCTGCTTTGAGTAGGGGGTTGGACTAGATGACCTCCTGAGGTCTCTTCCAACTCTAATCTTCTATGATTCTATGACAGTATTACTAACTTATTTCTTTTTTTTCTCTCTCTCCCATGGGGGGCCACCTCCCCCCTTCACATCTAGGTCTGACTCCCAATAAGCTCAGGTATTCCTCTAGTGCTGGCCAGTCTCCCTTAACAGTCCGACAGCCAGTGAAAGCAGGGTCATGTACAAACTCTCTGTTGACACCAAGGCAGCCACTAAAAGCTTCCAGTTACACCACTCCTGCAAGTGGAGTCCGAAAGCCACAGTCTTCAACTCTCAGTCCAGGATTTTCTAGTAGCAGTTCTTCCACTACAAGAAACAATAGTATGGCCACTGGAGCCAAAAATTCACCTGTTAAAGTACGAACATCTGTTGGAGGAACTTCTACTCCGAAGAGCAAGCTGATACAGCCATCCAAGAGGTAAGATCTTGAAATGAACATAAAAAAATTAAATGCACCTTAATACATTTTGCCAACAATCTGTGATGGTTGAAGTGCATTTCACATCTGTAAAATAATTGTGTAAAAATGGCGTTCACCTCAGATGCACTTTAACAATACTCATTAAACTCCTCAATTGGGTCAAAATGACTTTTAAAGCACAAACCAGAAAACATAGCTTGACTTCCAGATCCCAGACTTTATCTAGATTGATTGAGATACACTAATCGTAGGTTCTCCTTGAAGCCATTTTAGTTTAAGTAGTTGCAGCTGGAATTGTAAGTTGGTCACTAAATCTCTATGCCTCAGAGGAAAAAACCTATGTATTTACTGATAAATATAGTGCCTTTGACATGCATCATATTGCTTTACAGAATTATAAAATGTTCTAATGCTTTGATAACTTTAAATGAAAGGCGCTATCGAATTGCAAAGCACTTAATAAAGGGCGGGTAAGGAAAACAGAGACCCAGAGCGATTGTGATTTGCCCAGAGTCACAAAGGCCTTTGAGGTAATAATTGCTTCAGACATCACGAAAATATAGTTCTCTGGAGAGGAGGATGGTTCATTGGTTAGGGGACTAACCTGGCACTTAGGGAATTGAGTCAAGCTTTCCTGCTCTGCCACAGACTTCCTGTGTGACCTTAATCGCAGTTTTAATTGCACTGTTAATTAATAATTCTATTGTTTGAAATTTACTAAATATTTTGGATGTTTTTCTACATTTTCATATATATTGTATTCGGTGTTGTAATTGTAATCAAAGTATATATTTTTGATTACAAATATTTGCACTGTAAAAATGATAAAGAAATAGTATTTTTCAATTCACTTCAGTGAATTGAAAGTACTGTACTGCAATCTCTTTCTCCTGAAAGTGCAACTTACAAATGTTTTTTTTTTGTTACATAACTGCACTCAAAAACAAAACAATGTAAAACTTCAGTCCTACTTCTTGTTCAGCCAATCCCTAAGACAAACAAGTTTGTTTACATTTACAGGAGATAATGCTGCCCTCTTCTTATTTACAATGTCACCAGAAAGTGAGAACAGGCATTTGCATGGCACTTTTGTAGCCAGCATTGCAAGGCATTTATGTGCCAGATATGCTAAACATTTGTATGCCCCTTCATGCTTTGGCCATTATTCCAGAGGACATGCTTCCATGCTGATGATGCTCATTAAAAAAATAATGCATTAATTAAATTTGTGACTGAACTCTTTTGGGGAGAATTGTGTGTCCCCTCCTCTGTTTTACCTGCATTCTACCATATATTTCATGTTATAGCATTCTCGGATGATGACCCGGCACATGTTGTTCATTTTAAGAACACTTTCACTGCATATTTGACAGAACGCAAAGAAGGTACCAATGTGAGATTTCTAAAGATAGCTACAGCACTCGACCTAAGGTTTAAGAATCTGAAGTGCCTTCCAAAATCTGACAGGGATGAGGTGTAGAGCATGCTTTCCGAAGTCTTAAAAGAGCAACACTCCAATGCGGAAACTACAGAACCTGAACCACCAAAAAAGAAAATCAACCTTCTGCTGGTAGCACCTGACTCAGATAATGAAAATGAACATGTGTCAGTCCGCACTTCTTTGGATTCTTATCGAGCAGAACCTGTCATCAGCATGGACTCTTGTCCACTGGAATGGTGGTTGAAGCATGAAGGCATATATGAATCTTCAGTGCATCTGGCATGTAAATATCTTGCCATGCTGGCTACAACAATGCCATGTGAACGCCTGTTCTCACTGTCAGGTGACATTGTCAACAAGAACTGGGCAGTATTATCTCCTGCAAATGTAAACAAACTTGTTTGAGCAATTGGCTTAACAAGAAGTATGACTGAGTGGACTTGCAGGCTCTAAAATTTTACATTGTTTTATTTTTGAATGCAGTTTTTTTGTACATAATTCTACATTTGTAAGTTCAACTTTCATGATAGAGATTGCACTACGGTACTTGTATTAAGTGAATTGAAAAATACTATTTCTGTTTTTTTACAGTGCAAATACTTGTAATAAAAAATAAATATAAAGTGAGGTCTGTACACTTCGCATTCTGTGTTGTAATTGAAATCAATATATTTGAAAATGTAGAAAACATCCAAAAATATTTAAATAAATGGTATTCTATTATTGTTTAACAGTGTTATTAATCGCAATTTTTTTTAATCGCTTGACAACCCTAATTTTAACAAATCTCTTTTGTACATATATGACACTTCGACAACTTCTTAAAGAGCCACACAACGGGGGGAAAGCAAGGGATATGTTTAATGCCTCAGAGCAGCTGGGCCCTAAATTTTACTATTAGTAATAATACAAAATGAGTGTGCATATTGTGTTGGGAGAAATAATATCTCCTGGCACCAAAAAGATAAACAGGGAAGTCAGCTATTTTTCCTATTTCTGCCCATGCAAATTTCCTTTTGAGTAGTATCCTGAGAAACTCTCCTTGCTAATTATTACTGCAAGGAGCAATGCTTGAGAGAATTCTATGGATGGCAGAAAATCAAATAGATTCTTCCTTCACTTTGTGATATGACATAGTGACTTCAGTATTCAGTTGGAGTTGGGATCAGCTTAATTTACACATTTCACAGGCAGAGGTGAAATGATTTGCCGAGCATCACTGAGTCAGTGGCTAGAGCAAGGAAGAGAACTCAGATCTCTTTACTCCAAGCTATTCTATCCACTGACTAGACCACAAAATTTCCCTGATGAAAGGTGCAGCTGGGGTCATCGCTAATGTGTGCTCTCCTCAGTGGAAAGCTCACATTTTTAAAATAGCTTTTTATCTTGCTTAATGGGACACTAAGGTTAAATGTAGGCCCTACATTAAAAATACTTTAACATTTAAAGTGCCTTCATAATCCTGCAAAGTGTTTCCCTCAAAACAAGTGCTGCAATACTGGTAACTTTCTTACTTCTCTCCTGATTTCCTGTGCCAGTCTGTTCTTATTAACTAGGAGGGTATTAACATCCAAAATAGCCTTTGGGTGGCCTGATTTCTCCATTATTCTGAACCTTTTGTAGCCATTTACACCAGTGCAAAGTGGGTGTAAAATGCTACCATTCTGACTGAGTAGTGTTATTCCCATTCTGCACTGGTGTAAATGGCTATATAAAGTATAGGGCAATGGATAGTCTGGACTCATGTCTCAGAAGAACTCAGCTGGCAAGTTTCTGTGTTTGTAATCTTTTTCTCACATGAAGCAGAGATAGAATGGAGAATAGCATTCACATGTGAATGAAAACCAAAATACAGCTGGAACATTAAAATGGATTATTATATAATCTTTATTTATATACTTTAACCAGGGCCTCCATGTGTTCTGAGCCTGCAGCTGTTGAAATTGCAACAGAATTCACCTCTTACCCCAGAATTGTTAAAAGCCTAAACATTTCCTAGCTCTTACAGCGTCTAAGATAATCTTCCAATTGCAGCTGTGTAAAGCTATGCAGAGCTGTTTTCCTGAAGTCTGCAGACAGGCTGAAACAGCTCAGAAAGGTATAACTACCCCTTCATCTTAATGGGACTTACTTATTACTTCAGATTTTTGAAATACAGCTATGAGGGCTGTGAAACCTAATTATGACCGCTATCTACAGGAACTAATCACAGCTTATCATTTTGATAGGAAGTCTGTCTAAATGTGCTTATTCCATAGTCCAAACCATCTCCCATGCTTTCCTACCTGCCTCTACGCAGTTGCCAAAACCTCAGACCTTGTCTGACATCTACAGGGTAGTTATACTTTGTCAATGTAAATCTGTGGCACATTGAAAATGCATGGTCTGAATAAAATAAACTGAACTTATTCTCAAAATAAATAATTGTAGGGGCTACTGTCCTGATTATATTACTCACGCTTATCCTTAAAGGGTAATTTGGGAATTTTACTGTTGGCCTAATTCTTCTTCCACTGTAGCCAATGCTGAGTGCTTTTAAAAAGTCCCAACCAAAGTAAAGTAACGCTTCCGCCATGCCCTTACCCCCCAATTTCCTGGGTACTATACCTGCCCCCAAATCCCTGTTGGCTAATTTTTGAGACTTACAATTTTTTAAAAACAACAAGGAGTCTGGTGGCACCTTAAAGACTAACAGATTTATTTGGGCATAAGCTTTCGTGAGTAAAAACCTCACTTGCATCTGAAGAAGTGAGGTTTTTAGTGAGGTTTT